TGAGTGAACTTTTGTTTACTAACATAATTAATCATTTGAATAAGTAAAATTAATGAATTTATGTATTCACCATCTTGATTAGTCACTTCATTAATGACTAGTTTAGTTCAAATATATTATTATGAAGGGTTAATAGCATTTTGTACCTCTCTACTTTTGAAAATTAACAAACATACCTCTCTACTAAAATTTTGCAAAAACATACCCTTCTCTTCTAATAATCTAAGAATAACTATATAGACGTTCCCCCTTAGCACCCAAGCAATCTCCCTTTTCTTGGCTCCTGCGCAAGCCACGGAAGGAGCTTTTGGTCTTTTCCTTTAACTAAAACAAATGGGCCTCATGCCCTCTACCTATTTTAGGCGGCCAAAGCAGGTGCAAATCAGGAGTGTTATTATTTTGATTACTTATTATAGTTTTTAGGCGTGTGGCTAGGTTACGCAAGGGATGGAATATATAGGTTCAGACTAGCATACGTCAGATGTACATTGTACGCCGGTCGAATTTTACTATTTAGAGCATGAATTAATCGGAGTTTGAGGTATGATACTATACCCTATCCTCTAACGGGTGAACCACAGTTCCTAATTCTCTAACCCAAGCCACAAGATTCATTTAATCTAAAAAAAATAATTGACAGTTCTGATTCAACAAAATATATTGAAGTGCAAAACCAAGTGTGAACACAGGTGTACAGCGTACGCCCAACGTACGCTAGCCTTTGCCATATATGTATATATGAATATGAATATGAATAGGGCTGGCAATTAGTTCCATTCGGTTATTATCGGAACCACTTAGTTAGTTTTTGGTTAATTGTTAACTACTTTGTACTTATCATCAATTGCATCATTTACATTAGTTAGTTAACCGTATTCGTATTGTCGGTTCTTGATTAATTTTTTGATTAACTGGATTACCGTTAAGCTAGTGGTTCAGTAAGTTTAAAAAATAATTGTATAAAAAACAATTATACAATTATTAATTTTTTTATTAACCGGATTACCGTATTCGTATTGTCGGTTCTCGATTAATTTTTTGATTAACCGTATTCGTATGTGTTCTTTTTTAAGTTTTTATTATTGTATAAAAAATAATTTAACATAGATATCAATCCATAATCAACTCAATCTAACACAAGTACTAACACCATTCTACCGTCAAATTTGATTGAAGAAGCAGACAAAAATAAGAGACCCAACAACAATTACTCAAGCTATGAACCCCCGTCAATTTACATGGAAGGTTAAATGTTACCGATTGTTGTCGAGCTATGTGGCAAGTCCAAAACATCCCATTTTTTGGCCTATGCATGCGGTTCATCGACCTATTATTTTTTTCCTCACTATGAGGATGGTAATAATCAGTTAGTCAGTTAACTATCGGTTATAACTGTTTAACCATTGGTTATTAACTAGCTAAATTTGGCTACTAAGCCGACCGTTTACTGTTTAATCTGTTATCCATGTAACCGTTAACCAAATATGCATATGATTTTTATATTATTATACTAGCATGAGAATATGAATAGGATGGTTACTTAACTGTCCAAGATTATGGGTTGGTTAATCAAAGGTGCATATTATTTATGTATATTATTATTTGTGTTTATTCTTTGTAGTTTGATGTTTCAAAGATCATGCGGTGAGTCATCCAAACAATCAAATAGTATTTCAATTCAATCATAAAAAATAAATGTAAGTACATGTGTTTTTATTTGATAATGCTAGACATCTTACCATTATAAATCTGTCAATCCCACGTGTTATTTAGGAAAATACATACGATCTCAAAAAAATAGATTGTTAACGTCCATCAAACATGCTGATAGTCTTTGCAATAATCTTCGGGTGATGTGTTTGCGAACCTCACTCCTCGAAGGCAACGATCTAGAGGATTTCAATATGCTGTTGTAAGCAAATAATTTGACGAGGCGTCATTCTTTTTAAACTTCTCTGAGACTATGATGATGTCTCCTGACAATTTGTTTTTTCTCTTGAAATATTTCTCATTTCTCCATTCGTTGTTGGTATTATCATTGTAACGAAGTATTTAATATATTCTCATATGGTATCAAGCTGCTATACGATTAACTATATTCTCATGGGTTAGAATTAGTGCATCCACATCAATCTACCACATTCAATTGCAAATTAGTGACGTGGCATTAATAGAAATGCAATTGCACTTTTAATTGCATTGATGGAAGTGTCAATTGCAATAATGCATGCTACCATTTTATACAATTCCATTTGCAATTTCGAGATAGACATCCATAACTTTTTATTGGATTTTTTCTTCCTTTTTTACTTTATTAAAATAATAAATTGGACTCACATATGCAATTGCAAGTTATGCGAATGAAAATAATGTAAGTTTGATTGCAAATAAGTTGAGGTGGCAATAAAAAGCACAAATGAAATTACAAAAACAATGCATTGATGTGTATACTCTTAGGAGCGTTTTATTATTAATATTTATATTAATAAATTATTATTTTTAGTTAGGGAAAGTGGTTTTTTGAATTATATAGCATAGTGTGAGACGTGTATGTTTATTGTTTAGGATTTTTCTACATATTTTTATTGTAGACATAGTAACTCGCTACTCGCTCAACCGAGAGAATAAAATTATCACCAAACTTCCAAATTGTTAGCATATTATATAGATTAAAATATGGTGAAACCAAATTTAAAAAGTAAATATATAACGCTTTAAGATTTCAATAGATTTTTGTTACTTTATTATTGCGTTATTTGAATGTTTTGAGTTATATGATTAAATTACTATTTTATTTTGTGCTATCAAGTATTTGTTAAAGTACTAGGTGATAATGAAACACAACTCCAACACCATTGAAAATCTCAGCAACTTGCATTTGTATTGATGAGATTAAAGCATTTCTAGACAGTCGCTATTAACATCAGGCGAAGCATGTCGGAGAATTTTTAGGTTTGATAGTAGATGTAGTTCACCTTCTATGTTGCGTATGTCACGAGCATAGGGAGAATAAAGTAATAATGAAGGAGAACCAAACGACTGAAAATACTATCATAAAAAAAATATGAATGTTATTGCCATGGATGAAAATCAATGCTCATTCTTCTAAGGCATACAAATATTCTTTGTGGAGTTCCCTCAATATTTCATATGGACCAAAAATTGAGAATGCGCCAGATGAGAAAGAAAAAGGTGTGTATTGGAAGATTGTATTTTATGCTCGCAGGTCGCTGCATTTAGTAAGAGGTTGTCATCTTATGGAGAAATTAGAACAGTTAATGATGGAGTACATGATTCCTTTCAAAAAATGTTTTTTGCTCTTGGGTTATTGGTAGATGATGAGTGAAGTGACTTCTTGAAGGAAATTGCCTTTTGTGGTTCTAGATATAAAGTAAGGAATCTATTTGTCACAATTCTTATTCACTATCAAATGTCTGATGTGCAATCTTTTAAAGGATAAATTGTGAATTATTGAGTGATGATATCACGTTCAATTGAAGGAGATAGTTAAATTTATCCAATTTGTAACTTTTTACTGATGTGATCAAACATATATACTCGATGGATATAGATAAACTATTGCATAAAGTTTGGAAACCTCTTTTATCAAAAGGTTGTATTTATCACTCCCAAAACATGAGATTCTGCCTGAAAATTTGCGGGTTTGAAGAAGTTATTTAGATTGAAGAATTCAACAAATGGATTTTGCATATAGGTGATAGAGTGGGATCTAGTGTTTGTGGGGAGTCAATTATCTCAACTCCAACTTCGTTGAGCATTCTACTTGAAGGAAATGACATTGTTGATATTGTGAATCATGTTTATGTGATCTCTATTTCAATTACAGTGAAGGAACATATTTCAAACGAAGATATTATTATTGATGATATACAAAAAGAAAAGTTGCAGTCTTTGACAATGATGCGTAGACCAAAGGGTGATTTGAATTAAGAGTAGAATCCCTTTCATGATGTTTTTCTTTCATTTTTCATAAAGACATTTTAGTCGATGAGTCAGTTAGAGTGTCAGGAAACATTATGATGTTGATCCTTTTAAATGGTTGAATTACTAAAATAATTTTGATTCTCTTATACTACCAATTAATTTGAATGTTTTAAGTATTTGAACAAATCAAATTTTCTCATACTACCAAAGAAACGCGTATCTCGCATACGGATAACTATTGTTGTTTACGTGATTGGTAAATGAACTCGGCCAACTGGCCGGGCCCCTGACTAGTAAAATGTAATGAACTTACTATTCCGTCTAATTATCTGTGAAGTGGCTCTTAAATGATCTAGAAAATGACCAAATTGCTCTTCTTAATTATATTTTAATTGAGCAACCAATCCATGACGATGGAACCTCTGTGTCTCTCGCCGGCTGCCGAACTGAATCACTCAGATAGACCGCCGGATCCACCCCATCCTCCGCAAGAGGGTGGCGACACGCAGATGACGGCCTGCTCTGCCGCAGTTAGCAGTTCTCCAGGTATTCCCTTGGAGGCCAACGAGACAACGATGGTGATTGAACAGAGCTCGCCGTCGACGACAAGCAATCAACAACCTAGCTCGCAGCCCCTGTCCTATGCGAATGCTGTTACAGGGTCAAATGCGGTGACTTCGCAAAAAATGATCGCCTGGACCCCGGTTGGCGAGCATGACCTAATAACAGGGAGTTTTAACGGGGAGCCGGAGCTAAAAATCTCAACGGGTTTCAAAGAGAAACTGTGTGTCCCATGGCAGAGGACCCTGGTTGTCCGAGTTTTGGGGCTGAGTATATCTTTCCCAACGTTCAGCAATAAGGTCAAGTATCTATGGCGGCCGTCAGGAACCATGGAGATCCTCGCTCTCGGTCAGGAATGCTTCCTGATTAAATTCAGCAACGATACGGACTATTTCAGGGTTTTAACAGAAGGACCATGGGTTATATTTGATCATTACCTAATCGTTTTCCAGTGGACACCCGATTTCCGTCTCACGGATGCTCTGCCAAGATCCATGGTTGTATGGATTCAGTTCCCGGCCCTCCCAGTACACTTTTATCATAAGGAAATTCTTTTCGCTTTGGGAAACATGGTGGGTAGGGCTATCAAGCTTGACTTTCATACGCAACATCAACAACGAGCTAAGTTCGCTAGGATGGCGGTGGAACTCGACCTCTCCAAACCGTTGGTTACAAGAATTCGGCTGGACGGGAAGTGGCAGTACATTGAGTACGAGAACTTGCCGGTGTGCTGTTTTGAATGCGGTAAGATTGGGCATACGACGTTGACTTGCCCGACTCTAGCTGCCAAGTCTAAGCCGCCGGCTGGGGCAGCGAGGCCTGAGTCACCAGAAGTCTGGCCGGAGGCGGTGTCGGAGGAGAAGCAAGGTTTTGGCCCTTGGATGCAGGTTTCACGGAAATCTCGGCGAGGGAATCGGAATGGAGAAAATGGAAACTTGAACGCTAATCATGGGACTTCATCCGGGATTGGGAAGAATGGAAAAGGAAAGAACTCCCTCCAGGAAACAGAAAGCCACAACGGTCTTAAGGGAGGGCAAAAGGAAAGTTTTGATCGGAGAGGCGAGGCGGCGCGGGTTGGTTTGAACGAGGAAGGAAAGTCGAATGGGGCTGGGAACAGAAAAGGTAAAGATAAAGTGGGGTATGCGATGGTGGATCAAGCCATGGGGGGAAAAGGAGTTCTTGGGCCAAACCCAGCCTCAAAGGCCGGCCCATCCTCAGGGCCCGTTTTTAATCAGAGCAAAGGAGCTGCGGCAGCCTCCCCTGCCGCTGGGCCTAAAGGGGTTGGAGGCCCGGCAGCATCCAAAAGTTCCAGCCAGCCGAAACTTCTACAACCACCTCCCATCCAGAAGATTGTTGGCCCAAATTCAACATCAATTCAGGTAGTGGCCGTACCGTCCCTCGACCAGCAGAGGGAAGTAAATTCCCAATGTGATGCCCCGTCGGCATCCTCCCGGATGAGAAAGCAGAACGCTGCGAAGAAGAAGAAGGGGAAATCTCCTCGTAAGACGCCGACGAAGGTGGCAGCCAGGGCGTTGCAAATATGGACCCCGGTCAAAGAAAAGAAGGGCAAATCCAGATCAAGGCTCGCGACGTTGACGCTCCAGGAGATCGCGGCTTGGACGAGTGCAGCAAAATCTGGGCATACAGAAGAGTGTGGTGGTCTCCCTGTGGAGGTTGCTAATGCGACTGAGACATGTGGCCCGTCGGACCCAGAGCAGCAGCCGCAGCCTTGATTGCGCCCCTGTCGCAGCTGCCTTTCCTCATTTTCTCCCCTTTTCTTTCTCTTTACCTTTTATTTTATGTCTGTTGCTAATAAGTTTTATCTAAATATTCTTTCGTGGAATGTTGGAGGAGCTGGGAGCAGCGCCTTCATCAGATCTCTGAAGCTCATGATTTTGAATTACAAACCTGACATTTTGATCTTGTTGGAACCGCAGATTAGTGGCGAGGTGGCGGATAGGGTCTGCGGGAGAATGGGCTTTCCCAATATCATGCGCGTGGAGTCCGAAGGGAGGAAGGGAGGCATTTGGTTCTGCTGGGACGCCCGGGCGTTCTCGAGTGAGCTGGTCTCAGCTTGCTTCCAACAGTTGACCGTGAGACTGACCGCGCAGAATGCGCCACCCTTTCTGCTTACTGCAGTGTATGCTAGCCCCAAGCAAGAGCTGCAGCGTTATCTGTGGCAGGCTCTTGGTCAGGTGAAGGAAGATTGTGATTGCCAGTGGCTCCTCACCGGGGACTTTAATGCTATCCTCTCCCCCTCGGAGCAAGCGGGTAGGATTACTAGCTCTGTGTTCCGGCGATGCAAGCGCTTCAACAACAGGATTGAGCAAACCGAGCTTATTGATCTGGGATACTCAGGTCCACGGTTCACGTGGACCAGAGGAGAGCCACCCAATGAGTATAAAGCCAGCCGGTTGGATAGAAGTCTCTGCAATGCTGCGTGGAACGCAACTTTTCCTAACACTGCTGTCCGCCATCTTCCTAGGCTGCATTCGGATCACCATCCGATTTTAACCACCATTGGAAACCAGGGAGGCCACTCATCTTATTCCCGCCCTTTTCGGTTTGAAGGAGCCTGGCTAACGCATGATTCTTATGCAGGTTTTCTATCAAGCAATTGGAATGGGCAAGCGCCGCTCCAGGATGCCTTGAAGAGCTTGGCCGAGAATCTTACTGAGTGGAATAGATCCACGTTTGGGAATGTTCTGCAAAAAAAAAAAGAGACTGCTCAGCCGTATCCATGGCGTTCAGTCGAGAATTGCCAATGCTTACTCTCCGGGGCTTTTCAAACTTCAAGCTAAGCTGGAGAAGGAGCTGGATAAAGTGCTGGAGCAGGAGGAAATCTTATGGTTTCAAAGGGCTAGAGAAAAGTGGGTCCAGTTTGGAGAGCGGAACACGGCATACTTTCACCAGCAAGCGATCATTCGAAGACGGAGAAATAAGATTGAAAGCCTGAAGGACAGCAACGGGGAGTGGATTTCTGATCCTCAGAAACTGGCTGCTTTGGTTTTTGATTTTTTTTCTCTTCTCTATTTACAGGATGATGATGACTACAGGGATGCTATGCCTACTCATGCTTTCCCGAGGCTGTCGCAAGAGGATCTCCTTCTTCTTTTGCGGCCTTTTGCGGAAACGGACATCTACAGAGCGGTACATGATATGAAACCCTTTCAAGCCCCAGGTCCTGACGGCTTCCAAGCCATCTTCTACCAAAATTCTTGGCAGGTGGTCGGGAAAGCCCTTTGTGAGATGGCTCTTAATTTCTTCTCCACGGGAGCCCTGCCAGAGGAAGTGGTGGAATCGACCGTGGTCCTCATTCCTAAGGTGGATCATCCGGAGATGGTGTCTCAGTTACGTCCGATCTCGCTAAACAATGTGTGTCTGAAGGCTATCACCAAGGCTATCACTAACCGGCTCAAGCCCATCATGAGGAAACTGGTGTCTCCGAGACAGAGTAGCTTTATCCCAGGGCGGCAAACTACGGATAATATTATTGTTTTGCAGGAGGTGCTCCATTCTCTCAGGAAAAAGAAGGGCAAGAGAGGGGGGCTCGTGCTAAAGATCGATCTTGAGAAGGCCTATGATCGCTTGAGATGGGACTTCCTTCGAGATACCCTCAAGGAGGTTGGACTACCCAGCACTTGGATCAACTGCATTATGTTCTGCGTAGAACATAACAGAATGAGGTTGCTGTGGAATGGTGATCTGTCTGCCCCGATCACGCCAACCAGGGGGGTTCGCCAGGGAGATCCTCTTTCACCCTATCTTTTTGTTCTTTGCATGGAGCGTTTGTCCCACAGGATTGATAAGGCTATTGAGGACAAACTTTGGAAACCCCTGAGGTTGTCCAAAGAGGGCCCTACGATATCTCACCTATTTTTTGCGGATGATCTTATTCTTTTTGCAGAAGCAGGAGGGTCCCAGGTTCGGATCATCAAGCAATGCTTGGACGAGTTCTGCCACAGCTCGGGGCAGAGAGTGAACTATAATAAATCCGCTATGTTTGTCTCAGCCAATGTAGACAGAAGGCAAGCCCGTCGCCTGTCTCACAGAGTGGATATTCCCCTTACAGTGGATCTGGGCCGGTACCTGGGAGTCATGGCTATTCATGGGAGGGTGACTAAAGCTCGGTATCGAGATCTGGTGCTGCGAATCCAAAGGAAGCTTGCTCCATGGAAATCCAGACACCTCTCACTTGCAGCTCGTATCACGGTGGTGAAATCCATTACCTCTTCTATTCCCATTTATCCCATGCACACAGAACTTCTTCCTGTGAATATTTGCAGGACTCTGGATCGGATCAACCGGGGGTTCATCTGGGGAGACACGGACAGCCAGAAGAAGCTTCATCTGGTTGGATGGCCGCAGTTGGTTTTACCCAAAAGTAGTGGAGGACTTGGTATTCGGTCGACTAGAGAAGTGAACATCTCCATGTTGGCCAAGAGTGGATGGCGCTTACTCCAGGAGGAAGATAGCTTGTGGGTGCAGATGGTCAGAGCGAAATATGGAGGAAACAGGCAACATCTGGATATGCTTAAACCTATTCAGGGAAGTTCCTTTACCTGGGCCAGCTTTACTAAAGCAGCCAACCTGCTTAGGCAGGGATGTGCCTGGAATGTTCATTCAGGAAGACAAACTAAGTTTTGGTCTGATCCTTGGATTTTGCAGGGACCGCTCTACGAGGTTGCTACCGGGCCGATCACGGAGGAAGATCGGCAGCTCATGGTCGCTAACTTTGTGGATGAGGAGGGGAATTGGCTGATTGAGAAGTTCGAGTCATTACTCTCTCCGGAGATCACTCAGAAGATCCTGGCTCAGGCTGTTGACCCGCTGGCGATGGAGGCGGATAAGATTTTTTGGAAACCAACAGCAGATGGCCGTTTCTCAACCAAGAGCGCCTATGTGTTGCAGCAAGGAACTCCGGACTCCGAGGGGCAACAGTGGTGGAAAGCGATTTGGCGCCTCCCGGTGCCGGAACGGGTTAGATGTTTCATGTGGCTGGTTAAGCAGGGAAGGGTGACCACGAATGAGATGAGGGTGAGAAGGCACCTAAGTGATGATGGTTTCTGCTACAAGTGTGCCAACCAGGAGGAGAGCTTAGAGCACATCTTCCGAAACTGTCCCCCAACAGCCTTCCTATGGCATCGCACAGTCCCAGGAGGAGCACAGCAGGAGTTTTTTAGCCTTTCTTGGGGTACTTGGTTGCATCGGAATCTCGCCTCCAAGGAGGCTACTATGGACGGAGTTCCCTGGAATGCGTTCTTTAGCATTGCTCTCTGGTGCTTGTGGAAGAACAGAAATGATGTGGTCTTCAAAGGTGAGAACAAGGCTCTATCTGCCTCCTCTCTGACGCAATCTATCAAGATCAGAGCTTCCGTGTGGACTCAGGCCTGGAATGCCCCCTCCCCTTTGGTGGGAAGATTCAAGCCGGCCCAGGATCGTGTGATGACAGAGGTCGGTTGGAAGGCCCCCCCGGCGGGGTGGGCTAAAATTAATGTGGATGGAGCAGCCAAGGGAGAACAAGGCCTAGCAGGGGCAGGTGGTGTTATTCGCGATGACAGTGGCAGTTGGGTGAGAGGCTTTGTGTCGAGACTGGGATCGTGCTCGGCTGCTTTGGCGGAACTGTGGGCGATTTACCATGGGTTGAAGCTTGGATGGAATTTTGGATACAGAGCACTCATCATTGAAACAGATTCGCAACTAGCGACCCAGTTGGTGAAGAACATAATGGATCCTTTGCACCCGTATGCAGCTTTGCTCACCGCGATCCGGAGGAAGATCTCCCAGGACTGGGTGGTGAGTCTGGTACATGTATACAGGGAAGGGAATAGAGTCGCGGACTGGCTCTCGAAGCACAGTCTCGTCTATCCCTTCGGTATGCATGAATTAGATTCACCGCCACCAGAGCTTCTCCCTCTTCTTCAGGATGATCAACGGGGAAGTACAACTCTGAGGAACATTGTGGTGAACTCTACAGCCCCCTCCCTGTAACCCCTCTGTTTCTGCTTGTTCCCTCTTTTCTTTCTTCTTTGGCCGTGAGCCTCCTTGTATGCAAAAAAAAAAAAAAAAAAAATTTATATTTTAATTGTTTGCTAATCTAAAATCAATTAAAAAAAACCCTAATCTAATCCCCTCCCATGCTTGAACCGTTCCTTCTCCCTCAACCCTGCAGCCCCCCCTCCATTCTTCCACATCGTTTAATACCGCGGCTACTCCTTACTTCTCATCGCCAGCGGCTAGAACAGAGACGAGACGGTGTTACGGCAAGGCTAGACGGCGAGGAGAAGAGGCCGGAGTTTGCAATTGAGGAGCCGACGAAGGGAGAACAGTACAGGTGGTGGAGTTGGGATCTACTACGATATTAAGATGATATGATAATGATGCCGCCATTATCGCCGCCGCAAAGCGGATTCGGTGGCGGATTCATGGAGCTGCTTGACGCCAGCAGCGGCAGGGTGGATTCGGCGCGAATTTCGGAGGATACTATGCTCCTTCTTCTTTGTTCGATTTGTTTCAAAATCCGTTCCCGGCAACGGTGCAACAGGATTTGCGGATGTCGTCGCCGGCTGGGGCTGAGTTGTTGGAGATTAAGGGCAATTTGGTAATTTTCAGCCCATTTAACAGCCACTTAACGGATAATTAGTCGGAAGGGTAAATTCATTAAGCAGTGGCGGATCCAGGGGGTGGCCACCCCGGGCCACGACCCAGCCCTCCTCTGGATCCGGAGCTAGTATAGCCCTTATGAGTTTATCGATTTTAGCCATTCGGCACAGTGTTATTTTATTATAAGATTGTGTGTAATTAGGAAAATGGGTAAGATGAACATATTCAAATCACAACTCTAAATTTAGCCTGTTCTAGCTCCAATGATTCTCATCTAAAGAATAACAAACAATGAAACCTAAAATTCTAAAACGTAAAAGACTAAAAAGAAATATGAGGTTTGTTTGCTTAAGAAATTACTTTTTTTTTTTGATCAAAAGATGGGACGCTAAAAGGGCGTCCCTGCCTGGCACATTAAATTAAACGCGATTGGGCAATGCCCAAGGTATCATACAGGATCCAGAAATTAAGACCCGGATCGGAAATATCAAAGTCATGAAAACCAAAACTAGCGCTATGCGCTCTACCGGCGAGAAAGTCCGCCGCCTTATTACATTCTCTATAAATATGAGAGATTTTAATCTCCCAGTCTTTTTGGAGGAGGTGCCCAACCTGAGTGGCAAGGTTATAGAATCTATCATTGTTGTGATCCTTTGCCGTGAAGAAAAGATAAGTCGTCATGGAATCCACCTGGAGGTGAACTTTCCGATAGCCTCTGGACCAAGCCGTTTGGAGCCCTTGAATAGCTCCTTTGATTTCCGCTCTTGTTACTGTACTCACTCCCAAATTTCCCACAAACGCTGCAAGGCATCTACCGGAGTTGTCCCTGATGAGGCCTCCTGCAGCTGCAAGTGAGTCTGGCTGGCGAACCGATCCGTCCGTGTTAACAACAACCCATCCGTCTGCAGGTGGCTCCCAGGCAAGATCAGCTCGCGATTTCTTCTGCGGTGGAGCACGAAGCTTGGCGTCGTTCTCCTGGGCCAGCTTAATGGTGCTAGTCCAACTCTGGATACGATACGCCAACATTGAGGCCTTCTGGAACTGCTTCTCGAAGACCCACTCGTTACGTCTCTTCCATAGGTACCACGCAGCTACACCAAAGGTGGCGCCTGTCTTCTCCTCTTGCAGATGCTTCGACATCCACTCTGCAAAACCCAAACCACAAGTCAGAGTAGTCTCCCCTATTCCAAGTTTTTGCCATACCTCTTTCGCCTCTGGGCAGTCGCGGATGATGTGTTCCGTAGTCTCAGCTGCCTGCTTGCACATGTCGCAAATGTCGTTGGTGCAGAGCTTCCTCCTCTTTCTTTCACTGTTGGTCAGCAGGCGATCATGGGCAGCAAGCCAGAGGAAATGCTTGATTCGGTTGGGTCCCTGCCATTTCCAAATGTGTTTCCAGTGTGACCGTTCTCCATTGACAGTCTCCTCATCTTGATTATCTTCTAACCATTCCGCAGCAGCAGTGTAAGCAGAGCTAAGCCGAAATCGACCATCTTTTTCCCTTCCCCATAGAGTGACATCTTCTCCCAGCTCCAGGCGAGGAGCTTCCATACCTGCGATAACAGGAATAGCACTGTTAATAACCAGAGGTGAAATTTTTTGCCAATCCCACTCACCTGTGGCCGTGGCCATGTCAGCCACTGAAGCATTCCAGTCAATATCCTGGTCCGCCACAGCGATATAGTCCTTAAGAGTAACCCCATCAGCTAGCCATTGGTCGTGCCAGAAGTTGATGCTACGACCGTTTCGCACATCCCAGACTGTCTCTTGTTTCATCAGCGGCAAGGCCTTACGAATACCCTGCCAGAGCCGGGAAGTCGCCTTAGACAGGAAGGTAGTGGTACCCCTGGCATCTTGACGGACATACTTCCCTTGGACCACTTTCACCCACAATTCATTCTCATTATTCAAGAAAGTCCAGCCAAGTTTCATCAGATACGCAAGGTTAAGGGCTCGGGCAGAACGGAGACCCAGCCCCCCTTCATCTTTGGACCTGCAGATGGTTTTCCACTTCACCAGATGCACTTTAGCCTGCCCTTCCTCGCCTCCCCAAACAAATCTACGGATTTTCTTATCAATGACATCGCAAACGGTCATCGGAAGCACTGCCGTTTGCATAACATAATTCGGGAGGGCGTTGAGGACGGAAACGGCTAAAGTGACACGACCTGCAAGAGATAAGTTCCGAACTTTCCAACCAGAGAGCCGTTTATCCAAGTTCTCGATGATGTATTTGTAGGTGTCCTTTGTGACCCGGCCGTGAATCACAGGGACACCGAGGTACTTCCCAAGGCAAGTTGTGATCGGAATCTCCATCATCCTGCTGGTTCTGCTCTTGATGCTGCTACTGGTGTTCTTAGAAAAGAAAATACATGATTTCTCTTTGCTGATCTTCTCGCCTGAGGCCTCACAAAAACGATTGAGGCAATCCATGACAACTTTCCCTTGTCCCAAGTCAGCTTCAGCCAGCAAGACCAGGTCATCTGCAAAAAACAGATGCGTAAGAGGAGGGCCATTCTTAGATAACAAGATGGGTTTCCAATTCCCTTTAGCAACAGCATCTTTAATGCAGTGATTCAATCTCTCAATACACAAAGTGAAAAGGTAAGGAGATAGGGGGCATCCCTGACGAAGGCCACGGGCTGGTTGAAATTCCTCAGTGCAGCTACCGTTCCAGAGGATTTGAAACCTGGTAGTAGTCACACATGCCATCACGATGTTGATGAAGTCCTCAGGCAAATTGGCAGCTTCAAGAGTGGCTCTTAGGAAGGACCAATTAACTCTGTCGTAGGCTTTGGCGAGGTCTATCTTAAGGACCATCCACCCCCGTTTCCCTTTCCTCAGAGACATCGAGTGGATAGCCTCCTGAAGAATGATAATATTATCTGTAATATGGCGTTTGGGGACGAAGCTGGTCTGATTTTCCTCCACCAGACTTGGCATAAGTTTTTTAAGACGGTTGGCCAGACATTTGGCAATCACCTTATAGCTCACGTTACACAAGCCGATCGGTCTGAATTGAGCCATGGATCTAGGGCTGTCCACCTTGGGCAGCAGAGCCAACAAGGTAGAGTTACACTGCTTAATCCGGGACGGGTCTTGGAAACAGGAGACAAGGAATTGCTGGAAGTCTTCCTTGATTGTGTCCCAGCATTTCTGATAGAACACAGCATGGAAGCCGTCCTTCCCAGGCGCCTTGAGCCCTCCCATATTCTTGATCACTTCATACGTTTCCATAGCATCAGGAAGGGCAGCAAGCTTGTTAATATCAGAATCCTCCAAAGGATCAAAGCTGGCTGGTAAGCTGATAGTAGCACCCTCTACCCCAGAGAAAAGCTCAATGTAGAAAGCCATCGCCATTTTTTCCAGGGTATCAGGGTCTTCAATCCATGAGCCATCCTCAGCTTGAAGTCTCAGGATTTTATTTCTTCTTCGCCTAGCAAGGGCAGACAAATGGAAATATCTCGTATTCCTATCCCCATTGACAATCGAGTTAGACCGAGCTTTTTGCATCCAGAGAAGTTCTTCTTGCCAAAGAGTCTGCTCCAATTCCTGCCTTATCCTGTCTTCTTTAGCAATGGACACCGTGGAAGGGTTCTTGTCATTTTTGGACTCCAAGTCACTGAGTCTTTTAATAAGAGCCTTCTTCCTTTGGATAATATTTCCAAAAACTTCCCTGTTCCAGGTGCAGAGCTTGATTTGCAACTCTTGGAGAGAGGACAGAAAATTAACTCCCTGCTTCCAAGAGTTCTGGACAGTGTGCTGAAAGTCTTCGTGGGCTAGCCAGGGGGCCAAGAAACGGAAGGGCCTCGCTTTCCTTGAAGACTGGGAGGGCTTATTACGGATGAGAATCGGTCTGTGGTCTGACCGGAGACGAGGGAGATGAGAGTTGATGGTGTCCGGGTACATCTCCAGCCATTCCTGATTGCATAAGCTTCGATCGAGTCTTTGAGAGAGACGGCCATTAGTCCAAGTGAAGCAAGGGCCAGAATAGCCACAGTCGATCAGATTACAATCCTCGATACAGGAGTTGAACTGCTGGGTACGCTGATCGTTAAACGGAGCACCTCCCCGTCTTTCCAAAGGGCTACGAATGGAGTTGAAATCTCCAACAAGGATCCAAGGTCTGGTCTCCCCTGCTGCCAATCCGCGCAACGCATTCCACAGAGGAAGTCTCTCATGATCATTGGGTTTGGCATAAACCGCAGTTAAGATCACCTCCTCCCTATCCTGCAAATCAAAACAACGCAAATGTAAGAATTGGGTATTACTATCCAGGAGAGAAATGGAGAACTTGGCTTCATCCCAAAGAACCCAAATCCCCCCTGAGAAACCTACAGCATCAACAATCTCGTACTTGTCGAAACCAAGAGAAGAAATGACATTCAAAGCCTCCCTGCCACTAATCCTGGGTTCGACAAGGATAACAATGTTTGGACTATAACGTCTAATGTAATCAGAAAAAGTAGCATGAAACTCGGGGCTTTTGGCCCCTCTGCAATTCCAACAAAATATACTAATCATTAGAAAAAAGAGAGGGTTAGGAAAGCTGGGTAGACGAATCAACGTCATCCAGCGAGGACGAGGAGTGGGGTTCCATCCCCGCGTTCTCCATCTCGAGGGAGCCTTGGTCGATCCCTTACCGCATCGGAGTGTCGCTGCTAGTTCCCATGGTGAGCTTCTGGAATTCCTCCTCCTTCTGTCGAGTCTGGGTGATAAACTCTTCGATGGATTGAGGAGTAATCCCGAAATTGGCCGCTTTCCCATTCTTGGTGGAGGATCTTTTGTTGTTTTTGTTGCCCAGGGAGGTCTTCATCGTGTTTTGTTGGGCTAACTTGGAGAGATGCTCTTTCAGAGGGGAATGAACTCTGTTCTTCTTACTGTAGTGCTGTCGGACAGAGATGATTTCCGAATTAGGGTCAATGTTCTCATTGTTGACCTTATCTAAACGGGTTGGGCCAGGAATCAAAGGAAGTTGTCTTCCAGAATCAACTTCCGGGTCCGTCCTTGGGCCGGTTGTGATTTGGCCCATTAGCGCATTCTTATCCACCGTCTGGTTAGTAGTTTGGGCCGTAGATCCAGAAGCATCTTTCAAAGGCCCAACAGCACGCCATTCTAGACTGGTGGAGTCTTTCGGGCCTTCTGAGATTGAGATTTTCCCCACTTCCTTCACTTTCCCTTTCTGCTGGGCTTTGCTTTCTTTTTTTTGATCCTGTACCATCGCCGATTTTCCTTTTCTTTCCTGACCGTTGGGGCGGGGCTTGCTCTCCGCTTTGTGTGTAGGATTTTTGCTATGCGGACGCCGCCCTTGATTGCCGCTTTTAGCAGAGTTGCTGTTCTGATTTCTTTCCAACTCCTCCGGATATGAGTTGCCTTTTTTGTTTACTTTCCTGTTTTTCTTCACAACCTGCATCCAAGGCCCGTAACCGGCGTGGGTCTCCGGCGTTGGAACCGCCGGCGGAATAATCATGTGAGCTTGAGTTTCACCGGTAGAAACCGGGACCATTGCCGTTGACTTCTTGGGACACGCCTCTTCGGTGTGCCCGATTCGACCACAGTCGTAGCATATGTGAGGAAGATTTTCATAGACCACTGGTTGCCACTGCCCATCCAAGCGGATTCTAGTCGCCAGGGGTTTTGTCATATCAAGTTCGACTGCAATTCTTGCAAACTTCCCCCGCAGAAGGTTCTCCGTATGATAATCAAGCTTGACCGTCCTTCCCAGGAGATTACCCAAGGCGAATAGGACCTCCCTATGATAGAAGTGCGCCGGTAACTCAGGCAGCTGAATCCACGCAACAACCGACCTATGAGGTTTATCGGAGGTTCTGAACGTTGGGGACCACTGATGGACAACCAAATAGTGATCCAAGATTTCCCAGGGGCCGCCCGTCAGAGCATTGAGGTAGTCCTGATCATTACTAAAGGTCGCCAGAAATGTATCATTGTTGAGGTCCAATAGGTCCAGAGATCCCGTAGGCCGCCATTTCCATCGGAGCTGGGCACATAGATATGTGTAGGACACCGATCTGCCCAGCAGCCTAACTACAAGGGTCTTCTTCCATGGCACGCATAACCTTTCCTTGAAGGCTTCGGAGATCTTCAGTTCTGGTTCCCCGTCGAACGATCCCGTTACCAGATCCTGTTCACCTACGAAGGTCCACTGATTCGCCCTAGTTTTTGTCTCTTGGGAATGGCCGGCCAGCGCTGCTCTGTAGTTGAGGATAGGAAACGCGGCAGGGTTGGCAAGGGGGGACGGAGTGCTGCTTGGCTGCTGTTGACCAGTGTCCGGCGGACGCCCTGTCTGCGAGAAGGGTTGCGCCGGCGGCTTGTCGGAGAGCGAAATTTCAGAGAGCATTTTTACAACCCGTAATCTTTATCTTAAGAAATTACTAGAGCACCTGGTGAAAGTAGAAATTGATACACAATATATATTGATTAGTCGATTGATTTGTCTAGTGTTGACATTGCTCGTTTCAACTTTCAACAACTACTATGCAAAGAACCTTTTCAATAATGAAATAGCTGAAAAATTATTTGCGCAACAAAATGAGCGATGAATTTCTAGCCAATTGGGAACTATTTTATCTTAAAGAGAGTATGCTATTGGTATGGATGTAGACTCCATTATTGATGAATTCACTATATTAAAATTTAAAAGATCGACGTGTATAATTGATATTGTAAAAAAAATATATGATTTTTTTACGGTATCTAATTTTTTAATGAAATGCGGCGCAGTGCTCTAATGTCTCCTGGATCCGCCGCCGTCGTTAAGTTTTATTACTAAAAAGGTATGTTTTTGCAAAAATTTAGTAGAGCACGTTTGTTAATTTGCAAAAGTATAGGCATAAAATACTAAATGAAAGTTTAAGGACTAAATTGATAATTCATCAACTCTAAGGATATGTTCGCAGGGAAAATAAACAACTCTACAAAAAGCTAATCGTACGTTACTAGACAACCTGTAGTAATTTTAGTAACCACTATTAAATGGTCGCTAAACCTCGTATCTCTAAACCCGTCACTATGACAGAATTTTGAGAGGAGCTTACATGCGAGAATTGGATGTGTATGTTGCAGGAGACGAAAACTCAGGAGCGAATTGGGGAATTCTTGGTGGCGCTTTGGTTTATCTGGGCGGAAAGAAATAATCAAATGTGGAATGGGAAGAAGAAGGAGGAGTACGAAATCATGAGTAATGCGGAGAGGTGGTTAGAGGAATACCTGAAAAATAATCGAAGCGAGGAAAGACCCACACAGATTGAGCAGGTACCGTGGAAGCCTCCCATCCATGTTAACAAGAAGATCAATGTTGACGTTGCCGTCTTCAAGAACCAAGGAACGAGATTCGGGGTAGTAATTTGTGATCTGCATGGCTTATTATGTTGAGCGGCGGTGAAGAGAACCAGAATACGATGGCCATCGGCGGTGGTGGAGTAGATGGCGATCTTGCATGGGATAGAAGTGGGAAGGAGATTGGGAAAAGAGGAGTGTGTGGTGGAATCAGACTATTTGCTTACCATTTTCCAGATGAAGAATGGAGAACCATATGATGCTGAGGTAGGAGGAGTGTGTGGTGATGTGTTGGAGATGACCAGGAATTAGGCTGGGTCGGTTGGGCTCATGTGGGTTGGAATGATAACAAGACAGACCATGACACATGTGTTACGTAATTGGGAGGAAGAGAAAGTTTGGGATAGTAGGCAGCCTATTTTCCTTGTAACCCAACTCAGGGAGGATGATGTAAATTGTAATGGTTGCTGACTTGCTAAAACACAACACCAAATTATGACCAAGTGCAATCGTAGTCCAAAAATGTACTATAGTGATTCAGTTTATACTTATCAATTCGGGGCCTAGATGTATTGCCTACTCCATGATTATCTATTATCTAGCGGGAAAAGTTGATTAAAGTATTTAAAAGTAAAGTAAACAAAAAACAAGAAATGTTCTGATTTTTCAAATATGCTAAAGGTCATCCAGGTATGATTCCCCCTAGTATGTAGTTAGTTCATATTATATGTTCTCAATTTACTCCGATTAGTAGATATACTGCGGAAAGTTCTTGACAAGTCTGGAATCTCGACTAAAGTAATCCAGACCCTCTCAGTTCGAATACACGACGAGCGACTAACCTCCACCGGCATAAACTAACCAAGACAATAACACACAAAACTTCCTGTACTTGTTTTAATTGTAGTGCAGACCAGTGAATCACTTTCTTGACTAAATCAATCGATTCACCACTTCCAATTTAAGGTTGCTCTATTAACCTATGTCGAAACTATCGTTCTAGGTTAAAGCAGGAATCACCAAATTTTGATCAAGATTTATGCAATTCTGATTAATGCATCAACTGAATATATCGAATCAATCATTCGCAAACGGGGTTCATACAACCAATCCTAACATACAAAACTAGGATTCTTCATACCCAGATGAAAGGGGAGTTTACTCCATGGCAGCGGCGGATCCAGAACACAGAAGAGCACTGGGCCGAGTTTCATTAGAAAATTAAATAGTAAAAAAACATAATGATTATAGTTGTTTTCCAATGTAAATTGTACACGACGGTATCTTAATTTAGTGATGCATCAATAATGGAGCCGACATCCATACCAATAGTATACACTGTTTCAAATAAAATACTTGAGCAATCGGCAAGAAATTCATCGCTCATTTTGTTGAGCAAATCAGTTCTCACATATTTCATTGTTGAAAAGGTTCTCTTCGTAGTAGCTGTTGAAACGAGCAGCATTAACACTAGACAAATCAATCGACTAATCAATTGGCATTGTGTGTCAATCCCTGCATCCACCAACTGCTCTAGTAAGTTTTCAAGGGAACAAACCTCATATTTCTTTTAGTCTTTTACGTTTTAAACTTTTAGAATTTTAGGTTTCATTGTTTTTTTATATATGCATAATCTTTGGGGCTAAAATTTTTAGAGTAGTGATTTGAATATGGTCATATGAATCATTTTTCTAGTTATACCCAATTTTATTATAAAATCACACTAAGCCGAATGCCTAAAATCGAAAAATTCATAAGGACTATACTAACTACGGATCCAGAGGAGGGCTGGGCCGGGGCCCGGGGTGGCCACCCCCTGGATCCGCCACTGCTCCATGGGGAAAAGAGGAAACATCAAGCTAGGAGGAGAAATCATCATGAGGACAATGAAAATCTACTCCAGACGGCTAATCGGTACTCTGAGAGTGAGGAAACAAGCTCCAAGATCTTCAGATCGCTCTAATCCTTGACCAAGGGTTGTTCTTTGTCACTTCCTCTCTCTATGGATCTCTTTCTGCTCTTTAGAACTCTAAAATCAGGATCCTTTGCAATTTGCACGAGCTTCCCTTTTATATGCTGGAGATTCGCGAGTTACATACGTAACTCCCTCTCCCAGCCCGTAACTTCTTCATAAAACGTCGACGTCTTTGCACTCTGTAAACCAAAAATTACGGCTCCTGTAGAGAAGTTATGGTTGAGACCGTAATTTTCAGGGGCAAGCCATAACTTCAAAATTGCTTCTGGAACCTCAGCCCCGCTTCTTCAGAGTTACGGGCCTGGAGGATAAGTTACAGTTCAGACGGTAACTTCAAGGGTCTTACCGTAACTTTGAAACTTCTCTTGGATTCCTGGCTATCTCTCATCCAAAGTTACGGGCTTCATGGGGAAGTTACGGTCTAGACTGTAAATTTCAAGGTCTGGCCGTAACTTTTCCCTGCTCTCTGCCCGTTCGCTACAAAATGTCTCAAAACTCACTCCTTCGCACCCATTCACGTACTAGGACCTAAAACATCATAAACCAACACAACCTGGTGTAAAATAGGCCACAAGAGCGAGAAAGAAAGCTCAAACAATTAAGAAATGATGGGAAAACATGTTCAAATACAGTGTTATCAAATTCCACCACACTTAACTGTTTGCTTGTCCCCAAGCAAACCTTACTCAAACAATTGCAAGTCTCTAGACCTTTACAACAACATGCAACCCCGATAGTCAGTAGAGGACTTCCTAGGTCATTTAGCAGCTTACGAGGTCAACCAGTTTTCTAAGAGATGTCTTATTTCTCTCAATGCGAGTACTAGACTCAAGCCAGGATTATGCAAAGTAGTGGACCTAGGACAAACAATTCATGGATAAAATGACTCACCCAACCAATGCAGTCAAAAGCGTGATTTTACATAAAACCGGTGAATGGGTAAAATCGTAAAGCGTAAAAATGAAGCGTAAAAGCGTAAGTTTTTAATATCATCTTGTAAAATAGCTAAAAATCTGTCAAGTACGACATATAATATAAAATATATGAGTATATACATTTTAGATAAGTGAATAACTATGTTAGATAATAGTTTCATGTTCATATGGTGTATCGTGACCATTATCTATTGTCAAACATTTGTGACACTTTTGCAAAACAATAATGTAATTTATTTTTTATCTTGATATAAAATAATGCTCCATTATAAATTTAAAAAGCTTGAAAAAAAAGGTGCCTGGGATAGGCATTACCAACGAAGATGTTGAAAAGAAAATGCTTTAAAAATATCTAATCCCTAAAAAGACATATTAGTGCACCAAAATACAAATTTTAGTGCACCAAAATGCTAGTACAACTAAACGCAGAATTCATTTATGAATATCTCAAGTCCCAATTCAATGCCTTCCTACTGCTGAATCCAGGCCCGAGGCTCTCCTGTTTTGGGCCTTCTGCTGAATTCTATTTCACTGTCAAAATTTCCGTTTCGCGTTTCGTAGTTTTTATTTCGCGTGTTTTTTTTCCTTGTCCAGTCGTATGTTTCTTTTTGTATTTCCCTCTTCTCTTCCTTCGCCGCCGGCGGCCGAAGAGCTCAAGCATGGGCTTGACTTACGATCCCCTTCCGATTTTTACCTGCTACAATGGCAATTTTTGGACGTCATTAATCTCGCTTCACAGCAAGTGACTGTCCCGCTGTACTCTGCTATCCCAAGCTTTGATCAGAGTAGCCGTGACGGGTTTAAATCTCATCTTCCTGTCAACGAGTTATGTTCCTCACCTTACCGGAGGTTTTGTTACTTTATGAACACATAATTATGAAACCATGAGCCATCCATCATTCGGAAAAAAACGTTAGAGAATGATACTAGCCCCAGAGTAAACCCAGGCAGCCATGAGTTCTCTATGCAGAGTGCTCCAGGCAATAGGATTTCCATTTTCTGGACCGTGCTTGGAATCGGATAAAAACGTCCTGGAAACGCGTTATTAACGCTTTTTTACGTTTTTACCGATTTTACCAACGTTTTTTTACGTTTTTGTGTACATAACGATTTTAGGTAGAAACTAAAGCGTTCTTGTGGTCTAAATAGGTA